TGACGTGTCCACAAAATGTGTTCCAAAATGGGCCACCGGAGTGACCCCTCACCGCTATTAGTGATGTGGGTGACGGACTCCGACGTGGGGTGATTGACTCAGGGTAGTCTGATTCTGCTGGGTGATTGATTCCGGCTGCTCTCGAGTTAGTTTCATGTGTTCAATCTTAAAGGACTCAGCCACAGAAATTGCGCCTGCATTCTGGTGAACGCTGATCAATGCGCACAAATTGAGTAGCTGACTGTAGTGACTGTAGTGACTGCAGTGACTGTAGTGACTGTAGTGAGTGAATGGCTGAGTTGGCCGAGTTTGTGAGTTTCGATAATGGAACTCTCGCATCATGTGTTGCGGCATCAAACTGGCTACTCCTTGAAACTGAGTCCTTCACGTTCAAAAGTAGTTTATCCACTGATCCATCCCTTTCTCGAAGTCCATCAAATACTGTACCTTGCTGGTTGGACTTGACTCTAAAAGCAAAAACAACGGATCAAATTGACCAGTTCTCTGAAAGTTAGCCTCCCCAGTCTTGTCAACCGCGTCCATTCTGTGACTTTCCAATTTAAAAATGTTTTGTTATTATTGAAATCATTCATTTTCGAATGCACTCTATGCAACTTGCAAATTGATTTCTCTCATTGTTGGTTGAACTGACAAGACACTCCAGACTTCAAGAAGACAGCGCTTGATTCTGCGCAAAGATGCAAAGTTCCTGCCACAAATTCACAATGTCACAATGTGCTTCAACGCGCAACCGAAAAAAAAATCGGTGAAGGATATGCACCAAATGTATCAAAATGTCGAAAAGAAACCAAAAAATAAGTTGGCAAACGCTACGATAGGCACATAATCGAGCCGTGGAAGTGAGGAAAGTTAAATAAAGTACTGTTTCACTGCGCAGTCCCAAAAAAAGGGTGCAGTATGACAACTGATTCAACTGCTGCGATCGTTGTTTAATCGCTGTCCACTGCATCGGATTCCTAAGGACTTGGCTCAGTGGGGTTCTCCATTCTCCACTAACTCCACGGACAGGTACTCGACAGCCTGGCCGTCAAAGAAAACCAAACCAATGAAGACCAATGGTTCCCCAATTTCATTAAAACATGTTTTTTGCAATGTTTGGGAAAAGCAACGTTGAAACCTCAGAATTTGTTCAATTGTTGTTCCAACCAGGGCCTACGTTTGAGAATTTGGGCTATGAGGCACGCATCCATATTGAGAAAAGGCATTAGCTCTGACAGCAATCGATGAGCCGAGTCGAAGCTCTCGAGCTCTTGAGCAAAATGCTCACATTTATGAAAATTTGGGTGGCTGAGCATATCTACACTGAATGTTCGAAGTTTTGCAAAAAAAAATGGGGATGCATGATGCCAATGATCACAATGGCATGTATGAATGTACATGGCAAATGGATGCAAATGGTACGTTCACTGATGCGTGTTGAGTTTGGCGAATGTATATTATATCTATCCAACGTTCAAATCAGCATTGCAGATCTGGAAACGCGAGGATACATTGAATCAGTCTACATTAAAAACGCACAAATGCTGTTGATGGTTGGTTGGTTTTCATGCATATTTTCGGAAAGCACCCAACGAGTCACTCAGACTATTCCAGGCACACTTCACAGCTGGATTCATGCACAACACAATACGACACACCTGCCCGTGGCATCACGTGTTGATTGTTGCCTTTTTGCTGTTACTTGCCGGGCATCAAGCACATCGGCCACCCATGTGGGAATTGACTCAATTGACGTTCTTGTTTCTGTGCACTGGTTGCGATTCCCAATACAATTCCACCGAATCAATCCACCAAGGTTAAGAGGCGAGGCCCGGGCTATGACGGCCATGATGTCTGCAATGTGCCGTTTGACTCGCAGCAATCCCTAAGGGGGTCGTATTGGAATCCAAATCATTCCACCATGCTATACGAACAAGTATCCAAACAATTTACGCGTGTCATGAAATTTCAACCCCGCTTCCATGAGACACAACCACAAGAAAAATCAAATTAATGTGCCGCACAAACACAAAACCAAAGTCATATTTTGCGTTCAAACATAATTGCAAAATTGTCCCTATTTTTCACAGTCAGACACCGTTGCAAATTTTATGTTGATAAAGCCCTGTTGCTCACAAAATGCACACACACACATCATGGGAAATTACAAATTGTTTGCGACCTTTAAAAGCCTTTTTCCCCGCCTGCCAGGTGAGGGTTGTTAGATTTTATGTCAGTTGCCTGCTCCTCCTCTCCTCTCCTCTCCTCCTCATCTCCTCTCCTCCTCCTCCTCCTCGTCGTCCTCCTCGTCGTCCTCCTCGTCCTCCTCGTCCAACTGCGACCCGCGATCCACAGTGTTCTCTGTCGGACCTCAACCACGACCATCCATGCTCAGTGTTCCCTGCCGGACCTCAACTGCGAGTATCCATGCCAAGTGTTCCCTGCCGGACCTCAACCATGACCATCCACGCCCAGTGTTCCCTGCCGGACCTCAACCACGAGCATCCACGCCCAGTGTTCCCTGCCGGACCTCAACCACGACCATCCACGCCCAGTGTTCCCTGCCGGACCTCAACCGCGAGTATCCATGCCAAGTGTTCCCTGCCGGACCTCATGTAGGAAGATATGGGACAAAGTATGTGCAGAAGAAAGTTAGAAAGAATGTCAGACAAGTATGTGATATATTACTTGCGAACTTGCAGGTGTGTGGTAGTGTGATCGGGGCAATGCCACTTCTTACTTTGCAGGTGGCCAGATAGAATGCCAGAAGATATGTCAGATGGAATGTCAGATAGAATGCCAGAAGATAGCCATGAGATATGCCAGATAGAATGCCAGAAGGTATGCCAGATAGAATGCCAGAAGATATGCCAGATATAATGCCAGAAGATCTGCCAGATAGAATGCCAGAAGATATGCCAGATAGAATGTCAGATAGAATGCCAGAAGATATGCCAGATAGAATGCCAGAAGATTTGCCAGATAATATGCCACAAGATATGCCAGATAGAATGCCAGAAGATATGCCAGAAGATATGCCAGATAGAATGCCAGAAGATATGCCAGAAGATTTGCGAGATAGAATGCCAGAAGATATGTCAGAATATATGCCAGAAGATATGCCAGATAGAATGCCAGAAGATTTGCCAGATAGAATGCCAGAAGATAGGCCAGAAGATATGCCAGAACATATTCCAGAAGATATGTCAGAATATATGCCAGAAGATATGCCAGATAGAATGCCAGAAGATTTGCCAGAATATATGCCAGAAGATATGCCAGATAGAATGCCAGAAGATTTGCCAGATAGAATGCCAGAAGATAGGCCAGAAGATATGCCAGAACATATGCCAGAAGATTTGCCAGAAGATTTGCCAGTAAGAAAATGTATAAATGTCATGGTGGGGATCACACGAAGTAAAATAATTTTAACAACCATATTTCTCCCGAATGCGTAATGAAGGGTTCTCGTTTGATTTTGGCGGTGTGAGGATGGAGGTGTGTTCGCGGGAGGTTGCTTTTATGTTCGCAGCCAGTCGCACCCGGTCGCAACTTCACGATGAAGGCCCTAGCCGTACCGTCGGCGATTGGCGCTCTTTTGGAAGTTTGGTAAGGCGTGTACTGTGGTTTTGTGTGGCAAGCATGGCACTTCGTAACATTCCGACGTCGTAAAGTGTCAAAAATCCATCTATGTGACTAGCGCAATAATTTTTCATTATGTGCCTTCCACGCATCACTCTCAGGTGTCCCAACATGCGATCTACTTCATGACTGTTCACGGGTAACCCGTCACTCGCGGCAGTAAGATTCAATCACTTGCGGCAGTAAGATTCAATCACTTGCGGCAGTAAGACTCTTCAAAAGCCAATTAGGGGAGCCTAGACGAGGACACAACCGCTACTCCACTTCCTGAGCCTTGCCATCCCACTTCAACCTTGGGGGGTGGGGTGGGGCTAGGGAAGAAAAGGGTAGGATCTACCAGCCACAACCGTTGCTTACCTTCATTATAGGGACAAAACCGCTATTATTTGTGCAACTTACCATCCAACTTCAACCGGCCAACCCCTCACTTGCGCACGCGAAATTTCACTCACTTGTGCACCCTCACTCACTTGCGCACCCCGGAGAAAAATGCCACTCACTTGCGCACCCTGATCATCTCTCATTCATGTTCCTGTGCACACACAGGCACAGCAACCTCATCATCTTTCTTGCTGTCCTGCAGACACAGGCACTGCTCTTTCATGATCAGTTACTGGTGGGGTGGGGGTGGGGTGGGGTGGGGTGCGACAATAACGCCCATCGAAGATCATCGAAATCCATGACGCTCTTGACACTCTTGGATTTCTGGTCATGTCATATCTTGTCATGTTTTGTTGGCCTGTGTCAAGTCTGCTGTCAAGTCTGTCCCTCACATCTTGGTGACACTTTCTCTATCTGTTGTCACACGGTTTGGGAATGTTACCAATGAAAAATTATGTGAGGACTTTAGGACTTTGTATCAGGGCGTCATGCCATTTTCGGCTTCCTGGAGAAACCGCATTCAAATAAAGAGAAAAATGAATATTTATATATATATATATATGAAAACTCATAATATATATATATATATAATGATAATAATAATCATCATAATAATAATCATAATCATAATCATATTTGTATACGCTTTCGAGATCTTTCGAGTCTTTCAAAAACCATGGGAGACGTGTCTTGTAAATCTTGAGATGATCTTGTGGAGTTTTGGGGCACAAAAGCAGGGATACATCGCGAGACAAAGGACAGCGACATGATGATAGGTATCGACGCGATCCCACAGCGGCAGGTCTTGTAGGTCAGGCTTTCAATTCGTCCCCAGAATTGATACCTGAACCACATATATGACATGTATTGACATGTAACATCATCATAACATCATTATAACATCATTATAACATGGTTGAAGAAGGGGTAAACATAGGACATTGGCACAACTTCGGAGAAGGCAGCGCTCCAAAGACTTTTTCCAACTTTTGAGGCAGGTCATGATGAGTTGCGCTATGTCCCAGGTCAAAGACACGCGGCCATCAATTCTTGCTTCGAATGTCTCTGATGTCACCCTGATGTCACCGATGTCTGTGATCACCTGACGGAAGTCTTTGCGTCTCACACTGGGAATTCTTGGCACAGAGGCAACGGAGGCAATGGAGGCAATTGGGGCCTGGCTTCGTCTCCTTTGTCTCTCCGACACCCAGCATCGATGACACACTTTGATACATTGCGCGCTTATGGCGAGGATCTTTCGAGCCAGTGTGCTGCAAACGGTACACTGTGGTACCACGTCTCACGCTTACGGCAAGAAAATGCAGCGGTTAGATGTTGGGTTGTCAGCAATGCGCCAACGTACCATGTAATGGGCAATCTGGGTGGTGTCTTGGGTGTTTGGCACGGATCGGGGCACGATGCATCTCAATCTGGAGGTCAATGCATCTCCTTAGTTGATGGTAGTCCTGGTTTTTCTCAGCTACATTCATCTGCCTGTATCGAACTCCTTGAATTTTGAAGCTGTCGTGTCGATATTGGCCGTATTGGCCAAGTTTGTCATGGCCACGTTGGGTGTGGCCTCAGACACACGGCCGCAGCAAAGTCATATCCTTTCCTCTGACCCATAGGGTGTGGTCCCCTATTCGGTTCTGAAGGTTTCGCACACCCTGTGCCACACAATACTTAAGGATTATTTTGGGTCACTGCTTTCTTGCCGTGGGTCTCCGAGCTTTAAGGCCTTGTCGGAATAAACCTGAGGAAACAGGGTGGCATAAACTCTTTTTGCTCCCCAAGTGGCGCTCAGACACTTCTTATGTCACCTGGTTGAAACTGTCTCCAGAGAACCAAAACATGCTTCGAAGCAAAATGTTAATCACAGGAAGAACTTGTGGAATCTTTCCACAGCTGAGTCTGGAAGGCGAATCAACTTGAATCAACCTGTGAAAAAGGCATTGAAGTATGTTGAAGTCATGCTGCAGGTGGTTTCAAGTGATCCTTTGGCCACAGGTCATGCTTCCTGTTGGATCCGATGTCGGGGACGAGTGGCTTCAGACTGCTAACTCTTGAGACGGGCAACCGCGGGAGCGCGCGACCTCACCGTCGCTGGCCACGTGCTATGAGTGGATTGGTCGTCGGCTTTCATTGACGCCTTGTTTCTGCTTCAGCCACGGTCACCACTTAGGGCATTTCCTTTCTTTTGGCTTGGATTCGATTGCGAGGATAAACTGGCACAGTGTGACGCCTTCATTTGCTTCGGCCATCATGTGGGACATCACAGTTGCCTCTTGTTTAACTTTTTTGGATCACATAGCCTTGTGGATTGTGGTGGCTTTGCATTTGCGTTATTTATGCCGGCATTTATCATCAGTACTACGGCTGGCAAGCAGGAGTTGGAAAAAGGACAGGCCCGAGATGTGGGAGACACATGCCTCTCATGTGTTGACTCTACTGCTGAAGGGCACACTCAAACCGGAACACTGCAGCCGTTTTCTGGCCACTGCGCTGTAGCTACGCGTAACCTCTGTGGGACTCGTTCAGGCCGCGCTTGTAGCCAAAAAGGGCTTTGAAACGTATGCCAAATGTCTAGCAAGCTCCAAAAAGCATGCGCAACACTTGGCAAAAACAGCATGGTTTGTGCGCTTAAAAAAACCCTAAAGCTGTGAAATCTATGAAACCTTCAATGTCTTCGACTTCAGACGGCTAGGCCCGGCTTTCACGGCGAGGTGGTCAAATTGGTCAATCTCATGCAGATAACTTTTGATCTCATGGTCCAACTGTCTATCTTATGTCGTTCGACCATCATTCTCATTACTCACTATGTCTTGAATGAGCCAAGTGAATGAACGCCTGCCCTACCTCTCCCCCACACAGCACTCGATTGGCACAGACTGCACAGAAAAATGGCTTGCTTCTCGAACATGCATCAAAATAGGGTGTGGTCCCCTATTCGGTTCTGAAGGTTGCGCACACCCTGTGCCACACAATACTAAAATGGTCTTAAGATGTCTGAATGATTATTTTGGGTCACTGCTTTCTTGCCGTGGGTCTTCGAGCTTTATGGCCTTGTCGGAATAAATCTAAGCAAACAGGGTGGCATAAGTTTTGTTTGTTCCCCAAGTGGGGCTCAGACACTTCTTATGTCACCTGGTTGAAGCTGTCTCTCTTCCATTCTGAGGCTTCCTGTTGGAAAGTGTCCAGAGAACCCAAAACATGATTCGAAGCAAAATGTTAATCACACGAAGAACTCGTGGAATCTTTCCACAGCTGAGTCTGGAAGGCGAATCAACATGAATCAACCTGTCAAAAAGGCATTGAAGTATGTTGAAGCAAAGTTTCAATAGTCGGAGCTTGGCCGTCGCCGTCTGCCACTGTGGTCAGCGTGGGCATCACAGTTTTGCACATCAAGCCCGCTTTAGGGCCCGTTGGGAAGCAGCGGTCTCCAGGGGCACTGTTAAGCAATCGAGCACAAATTTGCCAATGACATGGAATAATGATGAGGAGTATTGATCATTGAGAAAACATGATTGCAAAAATGGAATTTTAAAATGACATTTCAGTACGACTCCCCCCCCCTCAAACTCCATTTTTAAGAGGGTAGGGTAGGGATGTTTCAAGTGATCCTTTGGCCACAGGTCATGCTTCCTGTTGGATCCGATGTCAGGTCGTGTGTGCAGCAAAGTCATATCCGTCATATCCTTTCCTCTGACCCCCAAGAATCCCACACACTTGAAATGGCTGGGATGGTTGGATGGTTGCAAGTCGGACCAACCACTTGAAGGTAAAGCTTCTGTGACGTGGAGCTGCGATCCATGTTTCGTCTTCAAGAGCCCTGGGGCTGGCTGTGCACACCAACGGCACGAGAGATCCTAGAGATCCTAGAGATCCTAGGGTCCAAAGGATGTTCTCAGTGCCGATTCCGCTTCGAGGAGTCCGACAACAGACAGTTTCTTGTCCTGTGGGGCCTGGAAGGAATGAAGCCATTCCCGATCTTCAGTATTGGCGACGAGCAGCCAACTTCAGAATTGGATTCTGGCATTCAAGTTTCGATTTGCTCAGATTCGTTCTAAGTCAAGTCTTCAATCTGAGAAAACCGCGCAACATCCTGAAACGAGATCCACAAAAGTCCAGTCACACCTACATCCCCTTGTTGTCTGAGATGGCTCACTAGTCCTGCACATGTGAGAAATACTCTGATGGCCCTAAAGCTGTGAAACCTATGAAACCTTCAATGTCTTCGACTTCAGACGGCTAGGCCCGGCTTTCACGGCGAGGTGGTCAAATTGGTCAATCTCATGTAGATAACTTTTGATCTTATGGTCCAACTGTCTATCTTATGTCGTCCGACCATCTTTCTCATTACTCACTATGTCTTGAATGAGCCAAGTGAATGAACGCCTGCCCTACCTCTCCCCCACACAGCATTCGATTGGCACAGACTGCACAGAAAAATGGCTTGCTTCTCGAACATGCATCAAAATAGGGTGTGGTCCCCTATTCGGTTCGGAAGGTTTCGCACACCCTCTGCCACACAATACTAAAATGGTCTTAAGATGTCTTAATGATTGATTATTTTGGGTCACTGCTTTCTTGCCGTGGGTCTCCGAGCTTTAAGGCCTTGTCGGAATAAACCTGAGCAAACAGGGTGGCATAAATTCTTTTTGCTCCCCAAGTGGGGCTCAGACACTTCTTATGTCACCCGGTGATCACTTGAGTGGCACAGACTGCACGGGAGAATGGCTTGCTTCTTGGACATGCACCAAAACATTTTGAATACCAAAATTGTCTTAAGATGTCTTAATGATTGATTATTTTGGGTCACTGCTTTCTTGCCGTGGGTCTCCGAGCTTTAAGGCCTTGTCGGAATAAACCTGAGCAAACAGGGTAGCATAGATTATTTTTGTTCCCTAAGTGGGGCTCAGACACTTCTTATGTCACCTGGTTGAAACTGTCTCAGGGTGGCATAAATTCTTTTTGTTCCCCAAGTGGGGCTCAGACACTTCTTATGTCACCTGGTTGAAACTGTCTCTCTTCCATTCTGAGGCTTCCTGTTGGAAAGTGTCCAGAGAACCCAAAACATGATTCGAAGCAAAATGTTAACCACACGAAGAACTCGTAAACATGATTGGCGAATCAACTTGAATCAACCTGTCAAAAAGGCATTGAAGTATGTTGAAGTCATGCTGCAGGTGGTTTCAAGTGATCCTTTGGCCACAGGTCATGCTTCCTGTTGGAGATGTCAGGGACCCGGACCCGAAAGCTCCGAAAGCTCCGAAAGTCCGAAACCAAAGTCCTCTGCTTTGGCATCGGACCCCGATGAAGTTCGACAAGTTCGACTTCAACAAATTCGAATTTGAGTTCGCCGTGGGGAGTTCGTATGCACTGAAAACAAAACAGTCTACCGAATCTAGGTCTAGCAGTCTACTACGAGCGCAAAGTTTCAAGAGTCGGAGCTTGGCCGTCGCCGTCTGCCACTGTGGTCAGCGTGGGCATCACAGTTTTGCACATCAAGCCCGCTTTAGGGCCCGTTGGGAAGCAGCGGTCTCCAGGGGCAGTGTTAAGCTTCGAGGAGTCCGACAACAGACAGTTTCTTGTCCTGTGGGGCCTGGAAGGAATGAAGCCATTCCCGATCTTCAGTATTGGTGACGAGCAGCCAACTTCAGAATTGGATTCTGGCATTCAAGTTTCGATTTGCTCAGATTCGTTCTAAGTCAAGTCTTCAATCTGAGAAAACCGCGCAACATCCTGAAACGAGATCCACAAAAGTCCAGTCACACCTACATCCCCTTGTTGTCTGAGATGGCTCACTAGTCCTGCACATGTGAGAAATACTCTGATGGCCCTAAAGCTGTGAAACCTATGAAACCTTCAATGTCTTCGACTTCAGACGGCTAGGCCCGGCTTTCACGGCGAGGTGGTCAAATTGGTCAATCTCATGTAGATAACTTTTGATCTTATGGTTCAACTGTCTATCTTATGTCGTTCGACCATCATTCTCATTACTCACTATGTCTTGAATGAGCCAAGTGAATGAACGCCTGCCCTACCTCTCCCCCACACAGCATTCGATTGTCTCACCCACCGCCTTCCCAGGGAATCTCCCCTCTCTTCGTTATGCCAATCGAATGGAGGGACGTGAGGGTAGCGTCCTGGTTTTTCTCAGCTACATTCATCTGCCTGTATCGAACTCTTTGAATTTTGAAGCTGTCGTGTCGATATTGGCCAAGTTTGTCATGGCCACGTTGGGTGTGGCCTCAGACACACGGCCGCAGCAAAGTCATATCCTGTCCTCTGACCCATAGGGTGTGGTCCCCTATTCGGTTCTCAAGGTTTTGCACACCCTGTGCCACACAATACTAAAATGGTCTTAAGATGTCTTAATGATTATTTTGGGTCACTGCTTTCTTGCCGTGGGTTCTCCGAGCTTTAAGGCCTTGTCGGAATAAACCTGAACAAACAGGGTGGCATAAACTCTTTTTGCTCCCTAAGTGGGGCTCAGACACTTCTTATGTCACCTGGTTGAAACTGTCTCAGGGTGGCATAAATTCTTTTTGTTCCCCAAGTGGGGCTCAGACACTTCTTATGTCACCTGGTTGAAACTGTCTCTCTTCCATTCTGAGGCTTCCTGTTGGAAAGTGTCCAGAGAACCCAAAACATGATTCGAAGCAAAATGTTAACCACACGAAGAACTCGTAAACATGATTCGAAGCAAAATGTTAATCACACGAAGAACTCGTGGAATCTTTCCACAGCTGAGTCTGGAAGGCGAATCAACTTGAATCAACCTGTCAAAAAGGCATTGAAGTATGTTGAAGTCATGCTGCAGGTGGTTTCAAGTGATCCTTTGGCCACAGGTCATGCTTCCTGTTGGAGATGTCAGGGACCCGGACCCGAAAGCTCCGAAAGCTCCGAAAGTCCGAAACCAAAGTCCTCTGCTTTGGCATCGGACCCCGATGAAGTTCGACAAGTTCGACTTCAACAAATTCGAATTTGAGTTCGCCGTGGGGAGTTCGTATGCACTGAAAACAAAACAGTCTACCGAATCTAGGTCTAGCAGTCTACTACGAGCGCAAAGTTTCAAGAGTCGGAGCTTGGCCGTCGCCGTCTGCCACTGTGGTCAGCGTGGGCATCACAGTTTTGCACATCAAGCCCGCTTTAGGGCCCGTTGGGAAGCAGCGGTCTCCAGGGGCACTGTTAAGCAATCGAGCACAAATTTGCCAAATAAAAAATCTTATGCCTATGCCAGGACAGGCAGATCCAGGTAGATCCGTTGCAAATTTGCAATGTACTGCGTTTCAAGAGCAATTCAGGACCCATGCTGCACGTGACATAAACGGCCTTTCATTGCAATGACCCTACTCCGTTTAAAGGTGGCATAAGCTGCTAGCACGAGGGCCATCGTGTGTCACAATTCTCGCGGCAGAAGTCAAAGCCCTCCCAAAAAAATCAGTCAAAACTGCTTGCTGTCCGACGCAACTGAAACGGCGGAATGGTGCAGACTTGGAATACACTTCATGGGCCGGAAACGTTCTGACAAGCTGGAGGGTGTTCAAAAGTACATTATTTTGGCTTATGGAGGCTGTTGACATCATGTGAGCTGTTGGAAATACCTCCCATCTCATTGTACTATTAGGATCTATTTGGTTGATGGGTCTCCCAATAAATTAGGTAGTATAATACATCAAGCAGTCAGGGAATTTCTAATGGCTTGCAATCACAACTTCGAAAGTTGTGATCCTTCCATGCAATCCATTTGTGCTCTTTGGCATCTGCGGCACTGCACCACATGAGCATAGTTCTCCTTGAATGTACCATGTGGAAATGATTCCTGCGCCAAGGAGCGAAACCGTTGCGCCATCCACGACCACACCGGGAGCTCGCTGAGATTTGGTACATGACCTGATTTGATGAAAGCCCAATGCAGGGCTTAAACGCGGCAACATCACAGGCGTCACAAACATTCCGGCATGAAGAGGTGCAGACTGTCTGGCGAAAGTGGCACGCAAAGGACCGCCCCAACAGTCACTTGGCATACTCAGCATACTCGGCCTTTGTGTCAGCCCCAATCCCAAGATCTGTGTTTGCTGCCTTTCACTGCCTATCGTTGTAGCTTGCTGCCTCTTACAGAACAACATCCTAGCTGCGCAATTTAAACAGTTGCAGGGACAGCTTGCGGGACTTGGGAGCTTTACGAACGGAGGCATCCTTTGCTGCCCCGAAAGCAAGTCTGGCGCCACGGGTCTTCAACATGTCTACAAAGTGGGTCATAGGTACATTGACAGGAAGACATTGCTGCATCAACCATGCACTTCGCTACCTACGAACCTCTCGGCTTCGAGTGGAGCATCCATGGACATTCCAGCCTTGCGATTCAAGCACTTCAAGTAGGGACAGCCTCTCGGATGGGACATGGCTAGCCTCACTAATACTATCAAAACAAAATAAGGTGTTTCAAAGCCAGTGCAGTCAATAGAAGGCTTGCTGGGCTTTGGAGTGCAGCCGGCTATTTCCTGGCGCAAAGATTGATGCAACAATGATGCAATCTGAACGAAATCGTAGGATGTAAGATGTCTTGGACGTGTTGGCAAGTCCCAAACCGGTCACAGTCTGGTGAAAACATCACGCAACAGCGTCACAATACATCGTATTTTGTCGTCTGGCATGAAACCGTGTCTCTGTCTCATCTATCTCTTTAGGACTTGGGTCCTTATCCTTGGATGTTCAACATGTTCAAAAAACATCGCACTTGCCGGCCAAGCCTTGGCTGTGCTTCAATAGCAATCCAACAATAAAAAAAGGTGTCACTGGCGGAAATGGCTGTGCTGCAGGCTGAGATGCTTTTCGCTCAACACAGAATTCCATGCAATTCCATGGAATTCCTGGAATGTTCTGCCGCAAATGCTGGAATTCAACTGGAAGTATGTTGGTGAGGGTTCAGAATCACCGAATGCTCTGAAGGCTCTGCTTCAATAAAGCTTGGTTCCACTAAGCTCCGACGGCAAAAAATTCGGAACTTCAGACGAACTTCACCGACTTCGACCTCTCAAGCTTCGTATCTCAGCTCTGAAGCTTGTGCCATTGAGAGATGCTAAGTCTTCTAAACCCATTAAGCATAGACTTTTCAACAAAATTGAAGCTGAATAGGCTGAATAAGAAGTGCATCTCGTGGTCATCCAGGCATCCTTGGCCAAGTTGAACACAAGCCTTCACATTTGGTGGGTTCTACTTTGCATTGGAAGAATCATGAAGGATCATTGGAACATTCAAGAACCGGCAAACAAAATTCCACCCTTCTCGTTGGGACACCTTTTTGGGTCGTCTTAAGTTGTCTTCCTCAAATTTCCGGACGCCCAAATTTGATTGCTTCAATCCTGGCGCTGGAAAGCTAGTGGAAGCACACCATATCACCAAATCGTGGAAAAGCGGAGAGAATGGCCGAGCAAAGGCCAGCAAACTGGAGCAAACAGAACAGGTAGGTTGAGAATGGCTAGTGGTGGAGCCTG